ATGCTTTTATTAAAGCCCGTTGGTACATGCTTGAAGATATGTGAAGCAACAGAGGATGAGGAATTTGATTACTGGAAATTTGATTGAGCAGCAGAGGATTTGACTATTTTTAAAGGGAATTTAATTACTGGACTCACTTCCCCGCATGAGGGTTGCGGGAACTCGCCTGCTCTAAATAACCGATTGTTTTTTGAAGGTGCGAACGACAGGCATTGGATATCTTTGTGCATTCCTGTTTTGGATTATGGCTTCAGTTGTGTGGATTTACTTCACCGCTTATTTCACTATTGTGCGAGTGTACGTACTCGTCGCATGTGCCTTTTACCTCTTCTGCCACTGGCGCTTTGGCGGCTTCGGCACTTTGGTGCTTCTCTTGTTCAGGCGTATGCAGCAGCGGCAACAGCATCAACATCTTGATTAATACTGAGAGTAACGCCATAAAAAAAAAAGAAAAAAAAAAACTATGCAGCGTCCAGATTTTCGTGATGCTTGTCTGGGCAGCTGTGTGCTACCGGTCAGTAACGTACGCAGTTGCTGACTTACAAGTGTTCTCATTTCACTTCCCTATCAGGGCAAATTAGTGCTGCCCACAAGCACCGTAAGCATAGTCTTCCTTTGTCCGTTAACAAATCTGGCCAGCCGTCAAGTAAACTTACATTTCTAGGCACAGCTTAGTTCCAGTAGGCTTTAGTTTATTGTCTAGCAGCGAAAACTGAAAATACATTGTGGCATGCTTTTACTTTTCGCCGATAAGATAATACATTACCGTTTCCAACGCTTTACTCATTGTTTTTGTCCTCAGAAGCACCAGTTACTACCCGAGATACAGATTCAATTTTTCGCTTTCGAAACACTTCAAAAATTCCTTCCTTCTGATCTGAATTATTTGGACGGATTTCGGTACATAGGCAGGCATGGTGGAAAAAAAATCGAAATTGCGATTGTGCGCGCCGAAGGCTTATAATTTATAAAATAATTGTTTTGTGGTTACTCCGATGTTCATTCTATAGCAACAAATTGCTAACTGCTCTTCTGTGAAATAAGAGCTAGTTGGCCTGCTTGGTGGGATGTCAAGCTTTTCAGAATCTTGAATCCTGAGTAAGAATTATCATGTTTCTGGGCAGAAACTTCAGTAAGCGGCAAATCCCAAAGAAAAGCTCGTTTTTTTTTTTCACTTTTTTTTCATATTTGGTGCTTACGGGATGAAGCTGCGACTTTTCTAACTTTAGTGAATTATAAATAGTAAGGATGCTTGATTAATTGGATTCATGCAAGTTTTGAAGCTAAAATTAAGTTTTTGGTGTCGGCATCTCTCCTTTTCTACAAAACTT